ATTGGCCTAGATCTCTTATTTTGTTGAACATGTACAGTAGGTGCTGGTCTGCGATATGAAGCTGAGGGCATGAGGTTCCCTACTACTTGAGGAAAAATGCGAAAGTTCTTCTCTACTAGCTGTGCTTTAGCCAGAACAGCCGAGTAAGTACTAAGCTCGAATACATACAGCTGTTGTCTGATCTCAGGATGGAGACCCTACTTGAACTTTTTTACTTTCCTACCTTCATCCATCATGCTCTCGAGGGAATACCGGCCCAACTGTAGGAACTTTCGAGCATATTCTAATACAGTCATGTCATCTTGGACGAGGTGTGCAAACTCATTTTCTTCATATATCAGAAATGCTCTGGAATGTACTCTACATTAAAGACCATCAAGATTTGTTCCCAAGTGACTAGAACGGGTAGGGTGGCCTGCTTGAGTTGCCACCAGCAGCCTGCCTCTCCTACCAGCATGTAGGTGACAAGTATGACTCCCTGTTCGGGAATCACCCCAAGAGTCGTGAAGGCCTTCTCTCTCGGCCTCTTCAAAGGAGGATGTCCCTGCAAAAGTAGTTGGTTTAATCTTTTATACCTCTAAATGTAGCTTGGGTCCATCATAGGAGGAACCGGGTCCCGTGGGAGAGGGATTGGATTATGCTGAGGATAAACTGGATGGCCCTGTGGTGGCACTGAATGATACGATAGAGGCACCGGATTGTACTGTGGTGGTGCTAGGTGATGCGGTTAGGGCACCGGATTAAACTGTGGTGGTGCCGAGTGGTACTGTGACTGGAGCACCGAATCATACTGTGGTGGTGCTGGATGGTATTGTGGAGGAGCAAGGTCATACCGGGGTGGCTCAGGATCCTCTCGCTGCAGGGGTGGCTCAACCTGTGGCAGCGGGGGAGGGTCAGGTAGCTCCCTTCTTTCCTCTTAGGTCTGCTAGGCAACGATGAGTCTCTCCAACATTTCAAATAGCTGGTCAACATCTTCTCGAAGTGAATCCTCCCGAGCTGCTCGATTTAGTAGGGGTCTTTCTCTCCTCATCTATCTGTACCTGCATTTCATAAGGAATAATTGAGTGATAATTCATGGTTTTTGGTGTTTCTTAAAGATTTTGTGTAAGGAATGGTTCTGAGGAACGCGACTCTGATATCAACTGTAACGGTCCGTGAATTAGAAAAAAAATAAATTATAAATTGAATGTAGAAGCGAAACAATAAATTAGGGTTTATATTCCTTATACAATACTTCAAGATACCCAATAGGGCTACAGGAATGACTCTTCTAAAAGAACAACTAATAATCAAAGAAATTAGTGAAAAATAAACAAACTGAATGTCCTACTTGCAACCCTCTTGTGGATCAGACTCTCGATCTTGATCCTCTTGATCTGAAATAGTTAATAAAGGAGTGAACTACACTAGCCCAGTAAGAATATCACGCTACTCACCGACACAAAAATGAATGTTGGTAGAAAGTATAAAAACAACTAACAGAGCTCTTAATTTAAGTAAATTCGTTCGTCATAAATAAAATTATTTACTACATACTTACCGTAGCGAGATTTTCAAAAATAACCTACAAAGTCAATAACATAACACATATCATAATTTTATATACAATCAATTGGAACAACAATTTTCCCTTTTATCAACCTACTAGTATCTATTGGGGTCCGTAGGGATGTCTCCACTACGCGTGACCCCTTTTTTTTAACATTTTCAATTAATAGGCTGTCCCCATACTCCGTCCGGTACGAGCACCAAAAGATACCATCCCTCAATATCCCGTCCGGTATGAGCATCAAATTACTAATTCTCGATACCCCGTCCGGTATGAGGCAACATTCACGGTAGGGCTATTAAGATATCCAGTAAGGCTATCATTCATCCATCCATTTAATCAAATAATTTTTCATTTACTTTTAATTTCCAGTTTTCTAATTTAACCGTAATCACATGAAACAAACAATACATATCATTAAGAAAAATATAATCGCATCATCATACCAATTCCAACATATTATTATGCATTCGAAAAATTGTAAAATCAGGCAATCAGTTAAACATAGCAAACAACAATAAATAACCGGTTCTGCCTCCATTAGTAACATGTAATTAATTATAAATATTTTTTAAGTTTCACAAAATACCATATTATTTTAAATTAAACTTCAATTCCATAACAGGGAATAAGGTGAGAGATTCTTACTCAAATTGATGTCATAAATGCTAACTTTTGACTGCGTCTACTAGCGGTCCTCGGGTTCCCTGAATTTTTCTTTGATGATTAAAACGCGTTTCAAGTACCTAAAAATATCTCAAAAAATCCAAATTAGTGTTAGAAACCCTTTTTGGCCAATTTCAAAATTCCAGTACAGCAACTCCGCTGTGATCCAGTGACGGCATCGCTGCCCGCAACAGTGGTTTGCCTCAAGTCGACTATTTTTGGCCGTTTTCGATTGAATTCAGCCTGTTTTGTACCAATCCCTATGAGAAAACATGTTAAGGGGACTCGGTTTGTCGAAAAACTGAAGCTTACCAGCAGCGGGGTTCTCCGGTGTGGTGGCCCCGCCGGTTCACTTTTACAATTGGGTGTTTTGCTTCAGTCAACCTGTAAAGAAAGGAATAGTGATTACAATTGTGGAAAAATTACACAAAATGAGAATCGGGAAGGGCCTCATCGAAGGTGATTTTTTACTTTTTTTTGCGGCGGTGCTACTGGGCTTTACCTACAATTTTCGGCGCATACACTGGTCCTTTTGCTTCGAT